ACAAACTTGTATTGAAAAATGGTGCTAGGTAAGGATCAACTTAACAGGCTATAACAGTTAAAAGTGTAGCATCGAAAAAAGAATGGGCGTCATTATTTAGGAGCTATATTCGGGTTCCATCCTAAGACACCATCAGAGATAAATATTTCCACAATTTAAAAAAAATTTAAATATGAAGCACTTCTGTTCCCAAACATTTTGGGATAAGGAATATCCAACCTGAATATCTTCATGCATATAGAACATACATTTCTCCTTATAAAGTATCCTTACACAGTTACTTAATTAGATTCTAAGAGCAGAACCATATCAATTTGTGGGGCACACCCTACCAAGGTTCCCATTTTAAGGAATAGGAAGGAAATTCAGACAGGTTAAGTGAGTTGCCCAAGATCCTTCAGTTAAGAGAGAAAGGAAACCCTTCCTGAGGATGTGAGAACTTGGGGTTCTTTTTCTTCTAATTACAGGCACCTTCAACTTTGCTCACTGTAATGGGCCCTCTAGCATTGGGGGTGTTGTTTTATTAAATGACAGGGGAATAATGGCAATGTAACCAAGTTAGTTAAGTTGAGGGGCAGCGGGTATCTCAGGGAGTTGCTTTACTTCCAGTAATGATAGAATGTGGACAGGCTGGGTGAGGTGCAGACCTCCACGAGCATTATGTCCTGGTGTGTGCAGCTCCCAGGTCTCACCAGAGAGCTTCAGGCTGGTGGAGGCTGGGGAGGCTCTTCGCTCTCATTTGCTGGTTTCTGTCCTGAGTTTCTGGCACCTGATGCCTTTCAGTTTGGGAGAACAGAGGTGCCTTCTTTCTCCCTTTCTGCTGCCCCCTTTATGCTAGTTATATGTGATTCACTTCAGGAGTGCTACCCTATGACAACTCTGCAGGTGCTGTGGCATTCTCATGATCCCGTGGATGTCCGTGTTGTCCTAGTGTATCCTGGTCCCCCTTATCCACAGTTTCACTCTTCTCTGTTTGTTACCTGTCATCAACTTGGGTCTGAAAGTAGTAAGTGGAAAATTTCAGAGAAAGGGGGTGGGGAGAGAGAGAGAGATTCCACTTCCTGTTTCCATCACCTCCCAATAACTTATCAAATTATGAACCCATCAGTGGATTAATCCATCAGAGCCCTCATGATCCAATCACTTCCCAAAAGCCCCACTTCACTGGGGACCAAGTCTTCAACACATGAGCCTTTGGGGGACATCTCAGACTCACACCCTAACACGTACCGTATCTAGTTTCTAAACTAAATGTTGTCACTGGTATATGCATATAGGAGAAACCAGTATATATCTGTGGTTTCTGGCATCCTCCAAGGGTATTAAAATGTGTTCCCTGTGGATAGAAAGGACAATAGTATTAGAGGTAGGCTCTTGGCTTTATGGACTACAGCTGCTTCTCTTTGGTTTCCCAGAGTCACCATGGCTATATCTGGTTGTTGAAGGACTGGTTAACCATTGGTGAGCACATCCAGGGCAAGGGATGTGGAAGAGTGTCCCCATTAATGGTGACTTTACTGGGGAATGTGAAGTTTGAACCTCTGCAGGTGAGGCTTGATCAACATCAGTCACAAATTCTGAATGACAAAAGAAACACCCAGTATAAAACATCCAATTTCTTTAAAAATATCCTGCAGTTGATTTTGTTTCCATTTAATTTTTTTTCAAGTGGAAACTCTTTTGGTTTTGTTTGGTGTTTTTGAGACAGGGTCTCAATAGGTAGCCCAGGCTGGCCTTGAACTCAAGATCCTCCTGTTTCCACTTCTCAAGAGCTGGAAAAACAGGCATGTACCACCATATCCTGCAGAAAAGATTACTTAGTAGTAAAAATTAAAAATGACTCTAAAGATAAACAGGGATGTCTTTGTGCTGTCTTCCTTCAGATCAGTCTTTCTTGGATGGTCTATTGACTTTCTTTGGCTCCAACATCCTTGATTATTCATGACTCTGTAATTCATCTCTCTGACCCTCATCTCTACTGAACTTAGGTCAGCCTCTTCTGGGCACATTCTAGTCACTGTGAGTCCCTCAGCAGCCCTTTGTAGCCAACAAGCCAAAGAAGAACCATGTTCTTTCTTTTCCTTTCTTTGCTTTTTGTTTTATGATGTGGGGATGGAACCTAGGACTTTGTGCATGCTGGGTAAGTCCTCTACCACTGAGCTTCATCCCCAGCCTTTCTGATCATGTAAGTTAGAAACCTGAGCATTATATTCTGCCACTGTCACTGAAATACCTGATTACTTGCAAGTGCAGTCAATACGCACTCCACTAGGGTGAGTACTACCATCTTCCCCACCGTGGCTCTCATTTATTTATTAATTCCTCCATCAGCTGCTTATCACATACCTCCGATGTGCCAGGCACTCTTCCTGGCAGTTGGAACACAGCAGGGAGCAACAACAGAAAAAGGCCAGTCCTTGAAGAGAGAGCATACTTCCCGGAGTGAGGAAAGATACACAATAAACAATTTAATAAAGTAGTAAATTACTTTGTATATTAGAAGGCAAATGTGATAGAAAAAGCAAGCAGGATGGACTACTTTGAGTAGTCAGGATGGGTGTACTGGGAATATTGAGGAGGAAGGAAGGTAAGGGGTGAGCTAAATAGATCTCTTGAGAAGACTGGTGCAGGCAGAGGGGGTCTGCTTGACATGGTTGGGAACAGTAAGGTGGCCACTGTAGCTGGACTAGAGGAAGCCAGTGGGGAGAGGCAGGAGAAGAGTCAGAAAGACAGGTGGTTCCCACTATGTAGCCCACCATGTAGTCTGAATGCAATGGTCAGGGAGAGGTCCAGGGATTACTCTAAAGGAATCAAGAGGCTCATCTGACAGATTGGAGGGTCAGGATGGGAGCCCCATTGTTCCTTGCCTGGACTGCTGCAATAACTTCGAATGGATCACCCCGCTTTTTCCTACCTTAGCAAACCACCTCACACCCTGATGTTCTTTTTGTCATGAGCGTGCTTCCAAAATGCACTCCAGCAACAGCCACTGGAACAAAATCTACTCTCCAGGAGTGGCATGTGAAGGTCACTGTGACCTGGCTTCCACTTGTGATTGTAGCTTCATCTCCCTGTCTTCTTTGTCTTTCTCATTTGGGGAACTGTCATCCTACTGTGCCTTTGCACGTGGTGTTCTTTTACTTTCTATTGAGTAAAATCCTTTTTTTGTTGAGGCCCATCTGCTCTTGAAATCTCTCCAGACTCTCCAACTCCAAACGCACTCTCAGAGCCCTCCCAGCCTCGGGGGCATCTGAGCCTATGAAGCATGCATGTGGTTCTGGTCTCACTGATGCTGCTCAGGGCCTGTCTGGCTCCTACACTAGACTGAAGACCCGTGGGTCCCATTTATGTCTTTGGATCCCACTCTGGAATGGTTCCAGTCAGCCGACTTTCCCTGCTCTGTCTTACAGATTGAAGCACTGGTGAAAGACATGCAAAATCCGGAGACTGGGGTCAGAATGCAGAACCAGAGGGTCCTGGTCACCAGCGTCCCTCATGCCATGACAGGTGATGTAGCTCATGGCTTGATCTTGGCCTGGAACACACCTCCACAAGGGGGTTGGCAACCTTGGACACACAGGTCAAATTTGGCCTAAGGTTTGTGTTTGTAATAAGTTGTATTGGAACATATCCATGTCAATTCACGTACGTATTAGCTCTGGCTGCTTTTACACTCCAATAGCAGAATTAAAATATAGAGTTGTGCAGAGACTGTATTAGGGCCCACAAAGCTGAAACATACAACTTGCCCTTTATAGAATAAGTTTGTTAATTTTTGGACTATAATTTTGTTCTGAGCAACAGGTCACTTGAAGCCATTACTCCCAGGAGGTAATTTTAGAAACTTTTACTATCATTTTTCTGTTTGCTTTTGTTTTAATGAAATCAGATAGCAGGAAAAAATTCTGTTTGGCAGGAGAAAAGGGCTTTTTTCTTGCTCCATCCTTCTCTACCTTCTAGTTTTCACACTCAGACCTGAGCAACCCCATGATAGTAGACTTCCTGGCTGGCACTGCTCTGTGTAGGGGTTAAAGGTCTGCTGAGAGAAGGGCTGGACGCCAGCTTCAGAATGCATTTGGTTGCTTTGTTATCCATGCTTTATGATCTTGGCTTTGCAGTAAAAAGTAGGTACCACACAAGGCATGTGACCTGCAGAAGCAGACAACTCTAAGCACAGCCAGGGACTGGCCCACATGAGCCCTCACTCTTAACCCTTTCCATGACCTGACTATGTATTTTTCAATCAAAGCACCCTAGTCCCGTGGAGGCATGTTAGCTCCCAGACTTCCATTTCCCTCTGACTGTTTGGAAGAAGGGGACCCACCAGCAATGTGTCACTTGGGTTCCTTGAGAGCCAGCAGCAGGACAATGACTCTGGCTTGTTGAGGTGAAAGGGGAGTTGACTGGGAGGCTGCAGGGCAGCTCAGGAAGCAAGGGAAACTTTTGGGGAAGTGAGAATCAGGAGCTTTGGGCATCCAAAGAGTGGGGGCCAATGAGCAGGCTTTTCAGGGAGCCTCTGCCCTTCCCCCATTGTTTAAGAGGCAGCTGTTGCAATTCTTAAAGGCATCCCTAACCTAACCCATCCCTGCCATGGTTGTCAGGAATAAGGTGACTTGAATTCACTAATTCTGGACTGCAGAATCCTTTGAGGGGAGATATTTGTGTTGCTCATCTGGGTAACCCTGCTGCTTAGTGTAGCAGAGGATGTAAGGTATGTCTAAGAAAAGACTACTGACTAGGTGAAGCAGTCTAGCACTGCTGGTCCAGTACTAGGTAGGGGCCCGGTGAGTGTCAGATGCTTGTCAGGTAGCCAAAACTAGCACCCTCTTGTGCTGTATCTGTTATACCCATAATAAAGACAGGGTAGGTATGACCACCCTTTTTTGTAAATGGAGACACAGAGTTTCAGGAAGTTGTCCCCATGTCATGAAGCCCGTTCATGAGTGAGCTTAGATATGAGTCCAGCTCTGTGATTCTGAGTCCATCTCGTCCATCAGTGTGTGTGAGTTGCTCTCCTTCCTTATACACAGGGCATGCTGGTTTGTGATTTAGGTAAAGCCACCCACCCTGCCATATTTTCCCTTACTCTTCCTGGATTTGAGGGGGATCCCAATTTCTATAGAAACAGATAGTGGGGAGGCGCCTTGGTCCTCCAACAGCATTGCTAATGACAGCAAATGGCCATCCAACCTCTCAGATAGCAGGGGACCCAGGGCTTCCTGAGGTGGGAGCCTGAGCAGCCTACCATTTTGTCAGCATAGACCATGTGGTGCCAATGCTGGTGACACCATAATCTCATTTGGTCTATTTTGGGAAGCAGTCAAGTTAATGAGAAAGCCTGTGACTCCTTCTCAGTGCAGAGTTAATCAGCCTGATGTCTGCCTGGAGCTGTCTCTTGGGCTGCATGTCTCTGGGTAGCCTTTAAAGAGAAACTTGGGCTGGAATGTTAACGCCCTGGCCTAGGATTTTAAGTAAGATTTTAGATGAAGAATTTTGCCAGACAGGTAAACCAAACTAAGAGCCACAGAAGGGAGTCCTCTGAAAGCAATAATGGTGGCATATGGGTGACAATAAAGACAACAGAAGGGCATTTGTGCCCTAGGGTGTGGACTTGAAGGGAAGAGATGCAAGTTGTTCACACCCAGCCATAGCTGTAGGCAGATAATTAAGCCAATGGAGTGTAAGTGTATCATAAGGGCCATCTCTGGAAGTCACTAGAAGAAATGGCAGAAGTTGATGGAAAATATGGCCATTGACTTTTGCAAGATGGCATCTGAGTTGAGGTTCTTAGTTCCAGGCCCTTTTCTTCCTTCTGCAATGCCACTGCCCTTCTCCTACAAGGAGCATCTTCCTGTTATGAGGTCAGAGGCCCAGATTCAGAAGGAATCCATGGGTCCTATAGTAGTTCTGTCTGGAGTGGGTTAAGTTGGCTTGCCTCAGGCCTTAGATAAGAGGGTGTGACATCCCTGCCTCTTTTTCATGCCTGCCTTCACTCTGCGTTGTTCTCAGACCAGTGCCTGAGATTTGTAGGACCTGAAGCAAGAGTATAAATGAAGCCCATGTCCCATCGTCCAAAGTACCCTCACCACAACCTGAAGAGCAGGTTCAAAGTTAGAATTCTCTGGCTCCTCAGAATCCCATCTGGGAACTTGGGGTGTGTGGGAGTGCCAACCCTGTCCCCAGTCCCTCTTTTCTTCCTTATTCACATGTGTCTAAGCTCTATCCAGATTCTCTCAGGCAAATGGCCTTGGGTCTATTTTGTTTTTCAATGTTTAGACTGTCTGTTTACCAGCCAGTTGATGAACAATGGTCCGTGTACAAATTGTTGTATGGTAAAAGATGAGTGTGACAAGATTGAATGTGCACAGGGTAGGTTAAGCTGCAGAGCTGCTGGAGTCAGATCGTGGATGGCCCTGAATTTCAGGCTGCAGAGTTTTGACTGACCATATGAGTGGAGAGGGGAAGGTCCCTGAGGATTTTGAGCAGAAGAGGGACAAGATCACTGCCAAGCAGGGAGGAGATCAGGCAGGCAAGCACATGCAGGAGGACTGACCCTCTAGGGATGGGTAGGAAGCTGAGACAGTGACTGGATATCTGTCTGTTTTGCAGGAGGTGATGTTCTACAGTGGATTGTTCAGCGCCTTTGGATCTCCAATCTGGGTAAGGGTTTGTTCTGCTCTTAGTTATTGTTAACTGCACCACAAGGAAAATTAAATGGAGACTTTGCAGGTGTCTCTAAAAAATTTACATTTTAATTAGAGTAACATAAAAGAACCCATAATAAAAAGCAAAGATATGATACTTTGGGGGTTGTAATAGTTACTTCATGTAGAGAATTAAGAGCTTGTAAATAACAGGGGAAGTTGGGGAAGATTCAGTCAAAAAAGACTTCTCAGAGGAAGTGCTGCTTGCACATGGTCTGGAAAGAAGTGATTCTCATGAATTGGCAAAGAGGAACAAAGACAGTCTGTCTAGAGATGTGAGATAGTACAGAAATGGAATGAATGGGAAATGGAGGAGGAATGAGGGGAAATTGGAAGTCATGATGTCAGCTGGGTATAGAGGGAGGGTGCCCCTGGCTCTACACCCAGTGTTTGAAGATTCAGATTTTATCTAGAGATAGGTGTGAGGAAGTCATGGACAGCTTTTGAGCCTGGCAAGTGTTTGATAACTGCACTTAAGCTCAAATGTTTGGCAGCATCTTATAGGATGGAGTGGAGGGAAAGAATCTGGGGCCAAGGATTGTGGTTCAAGGTCAGCTGGGGAAAATGGTTCAAGAGACTCCATCTCCAAAATAGCAAGAGCAAAATGGACTGAAGCTGTGGATCAAATGGTAGAGCACCTGCTTTGCAAGCACAAAGCCCTGAGTTCAAACTTCAATCCCACAAAACTAAAAAGAAAAGAAATGAATCTGGGGACCAGACTTAATAGAAGAAAGGCTGTTGGTACAAGGCAAGAAAACGGAGAGTCTGGTCTGTGATGGAGGGAGTGGGGCTTGAAGAGAAGGGGCTGGGGAGGAAGGCTTCCTAAAGATGGAATGGGATGCAAGCTGGGGCCCAGGGCAGGGTGATTCTGGAGAAATGGGAGGGAGAGATTTTCCAATAGAGGATGGAGAGTTGCTTGCCTCTTGCTTCTGAGCAAGAACCAGGAAGATTTTCCTTTAATTGATGCAAATCCAGACACATGGCTTTGCTTCCAAACAAAGTGGAGTGGGCGGAAATTAAAGTGAGGTGGTAGGAGTGGAAGGATATGGATGCAGGCAGAGTTGCACATGGGATAGTTGTGATAAGTTAATATTCCCAGTGAGCCTAGAGATAAATCTTCATAGCTTTACCAACCATTCATCACCCCCACGTTGCCTGTAGTGGTCCTCCTGTGGTACCCCTTAACATTCATGTTTGTTGGTTCCCATCTAGACTTACTGAGTCGTCACTCCTGGAGACAGGATCTGGGAATCCTCCTTTTATCATTCTCCCCATCTCCCCAGTCCATGCTTGTCCACAGTCAAGTTCAGGAACCACAGCACTCCTCAGGTGCTGTGCTGATAGGATGGTGCACTCATCTGGAGTTTGGGGTGTTGTGTGGAGGCTGGGCAATGAGCTTCTTCTGCCTTTGGTCCCTGCTCTTAACATCCATATCTGAACTGCTTCCCTCCCCACCAGAGGCACAGAATTTGGGCAACTTTATTGTTAAGTATGGTTACATTTACCCTCTGCAAGACCCCAAGAATCTCATTCTCAAGCCTGACAGCAGCCTCTACCGTTTTCAGGTAAGTTTTGACCTTGACCTTGGGTGTTAGTGTGGGGTTGATCTTATTTGGAAAGATAGTAGGTTGACCTCATATCCTCATGGATCAGGAATTTAGAAATAGTGGGGTGGATTAAGGTGGCTTTACCTCTTCCATCACAGAGCTTGGGGTGGGAGGTGTCCATGAGGTCCCAACCCAGTGGGTAAGCATGGTTTTTCTGCTTTCTTTTTGTAGACACCATATTTCTGGCCCACCCAGCAGTGGCCAGCTGAAGATACAGATTATGGTAAATATTTCACCACCTCCTATGCCTTGGCTTATGCTAACACACTGCTTATTTACTTGCTGTGCTTTGGTGACATTTGCCTTGCTGTCACCATGACCTTTCTTTAGCTCACATCTGTATGGAGAGTATCCCTGGGGGAAGGGACCAGGTCTTCTGAGCATCCTTTCCAGCTTTCTGAGCATGGCAGCCTCATGCAGAGAGAAGCTGGAGGGGTTTTGAAATATGATGCTGATGGAAAATGCCATTGCTTTCTTTTCCAGCCATTTATCTAGCCAAGCGAAATATCAAGAAGAAAGGGATTTTAGAGGAATATGAAAAGGTACAGAGATGTTTTAATGTAGTTTATTTCAGTAGAGTAGAATATTGTCATGATCTGTTTTTCCCCTTCCCCACGTTACTACATTTGTCTGTGCCCTTTCCATCCATCCATCCATCCATCCATCTACTGACTTGTATAGAAGAAACTCACTGAAGTTAACTATTCCTTGTGTCCAGCTTCAGTTTCTCACGTTATAATTTAGTCCTTTAATTCAGTGGCCGTTGGGCACACAGTGTCTATCTTATTTCTTTTGCAGTCCCAAAAGAATATGACTTAACTAACATGTATAATAATGGACAGCCCTTCATGAACACATTTGAACTTGAGCTTATGATACAAAAGTAATAGTATAGACTTCTGTTCGCAGCTATGTGAATTCAGTTTCCCAAAGAGCACACTCTAACCCTCAGAAGGCTAACATTTCTGGCAGAGGGCAATAATATTGCTCTGTTTTAACTTTTTAAAAGCACGTTTTTAGGGCTGGTGGAATGGTTCAAGTGGTAGAATGCCTGCCTAGCAAACTTGAAGCCTTGAGTTCAAACCCCAGTACCACCAAAACCAAATCCAACAGCAACAAAACCCCATGTTTTTAGAAGAGCTAACATCACACCAATGTTACAGCTTATTTTCATGAATTTTTTATTAACATATATCAATTGCACAAAATCTTGGGTTTCATTGTGATATTTTTGTACATACTTTGTGGTGTTTTGATGTTCCATTGTTGAATATTGATTTTCCATGTATGACTCCATTTCTCTCCTCTTCCTAATGAGATTTGGGATAAATTTATTTTATCTTAATTAAAATATTTCTTGAGATAGGGTCTTGCTATGTAGCCTAGGCTTGCCTTGAACTTACCATCCTCCTGCCTAAACCTTCCAAGCGCTGGGATTATAGATGTGCACACCATGCCAGGCAGATTTGAGATAATTTATTTTAAACAACACTAAACCAAACTAATAAAAACAAGGCTTGTAGAAAAGGTTTTTGAGGATTCCATGCTGTTCCTTGAATGAACAAAGGCCACTGCAAAGCTGGGTGGACTGCAGCTGCAGGGAGAAGGGCAGGCCCTGGTTGGCTTATGGCTTTCACTGGTGAATGTGGCCTACGCCATGAGGCTCACTGTTCTTATTTTTTGTCTTCCTTCTCTAGGAAAATTACAATTTCTTGAATAAGAAAATTAACTACAAGTGGGACTTTGTTATCATGCAGGCCAAAGAGCAGTACAGGTGAGTATAAAGGGATCACACCTGTCTTCTGGTTGTCCCTCCTCTCTTTTTTGTTTCCTTTGAATTTTTTTATTTTTGCAGTACTGGGGAATGAACCTAGGGCCTCACATGTGCTAGGCAAGCACTCTACATCTTGAACCACGCCCCAAGTCCTCTTGTTTGTATTTTGTCTTTGAGATAGGGTGTTGCTAACTTTGCCCAGGCTGGCCTCTAATTTATAAACCTCCTGCTGCCTCTGCCTCCAGAGAAGCTGGAATTACAGGCTTTTTGTTTTCTTTTAAAGTAAGTCTTTACTGAGCATCTGAGTTCGGCCCGGAGAAAAACGGACATAGTCTAGTGGGCCAGGCGGTCAAACCATGACCTACTGTGGCATGAGGACCACACCACACAGCAGGAGTTTGCATGGCCAGCTGCAGAAATGGCATTGAACTTGGTTGCTGCTTAGAACATATCCAGGTGAGGGATGGTGATGGTGGGTGCAGAGGAGAGGTGGGGTACCAAGAAGGTTGTTCTAAGCAGACAGACCCACAGTCTGGAGGCGGGAAGAAGGGAAACATTTCTTATGACTGGAGCAGAGCGCAAAGCATGGACTGGGCAGAAGCTGGCATGCTGCTCACTGGAGCGCTACCGACAGACAGTTATCAGAGGGCCTTGCGCTGAGGGCCGCCGGGGCCACAAGTTGATTCACACTTTAATACTCGCTTGCATTTTCCTGTTGTCCACAGAAGAATTGGAGTCAAACATCCCCTGGAGGGCTCTGCCTTGCCCATGAGAACCAGATGTAAATGTTAGGGACGGTAAGTGGGGTGGGAGGAGAGTATATCAATCAGGAGGAAGTTAGACTGTCGTAATAAATACCCTTCAACCATGATTGTCCTCATCTCTGCCTCTAAGTTAGCTGGGATTACAGGCATGAGCCACTGCACCTGGCTGGGGTAGCAGTAGTAGTAGTTGTTATTATGCTGAACCCCTCTTCTGAGTTCTAGGCTCAGCATCTCACTGCTTGCATAGAATGTGTCGCTCCCTCACTGTCCAGTCCTTTTCCTCCAGGATTACTCACTTTAGTGCAGTGAACCACTGTCCATCCCATCCCTCCTGGCAATGTCCCACATCCATTTACCTCAGAGTCCCTCCTACTAAATGTGATTCCTGCCCACTAACACTGCCACATCCAGGTGGAACTAACCTCACTGTGAACTGGACCGTGACAGTGTCCTCCCAACTGCCTTTCTGCTCTCTTTTTTTTTTTTCCTTTTTCTTTTATTATTCATATGTGCATACTAGG